TCGTCCACGATCTCTGCACTAGGCACAGGAAAGTGGCCGTCTAGGGCAGGAGAGCTGCCAGCCTGGCCACCCCGGAGCAGGTGTGCATGAAAATCAAGGGGGTCCACTGAGACCCCCGACCCTGAGCCCTGAGCTTACAATGGCCGTACTGGGTCAGACCAAAGGTCCATCTAGCCCAGTAGCCTGTCTGCCAACAGCGGCCAACCCTAGGGACCCTGGAGGGGATGGACCGAAGACAGTGATCAAGCCATTTGTCTCGTGCCATCCCTCTCCAGCCTTCCACAAACTTTGGGCAGGGACACCACTCCTACCCTCTGGCTAATAGGACTCCATGGACCCAACCTCCATGACTTGATCTCACTTCCCTTTCAACTCTGTTCTAGTTTTAGCCTTCACAGCCTCCTGCAGGAAGGAGTTCTGCAGGTTAACTATTTGCTTTGTGAAGAAGAACAACTTTCTCTTACTAGTTTCAAGCCTGCTACCCATTCCTTTCCTTTGGTGTCCTCTAGTCCTTCTTTATGGGAACTCAGGAAGAACTTTTCTGAATGCACCCTCTCCACCCAACCCCTGCTTTTAGAGACCTCTATCCTGTCCCCCCTCCGTCTCCTCTTTTCTAAGCTGAACAGTCCCAGTCTCTGTAGCCTCTCTTCATCTGGGACCTGTTCCCAACCCCTGATCATGTTAGTTGCCCTCCCCTCTCCCAGCCTTTCTCTTCCCCTCTCCCACCTCCTTTTCCCAGTCTCCCCCAGTTTTTTTCAATAAAGACAGAGTCAATGTTGGAAGAAACGTTATCTTTATTTTGTACATCAATAAGAAGGGGGGCTAGGGAAGGGTAAGTGGAAGGAGGTGAGGGAGGAATGGGGTACGAGCCCCCGATGGGGAGGACTGGGCTGGCTCTGCGGGCTTCTGGGGGTGGAAGCTCTCCTGCAGCCCCCCAATTACTCCCTCTCCCCAGATGGCAGCCTGCGGCAAGTGCAGCCGGGCTGATGGCCGAGTGGTGTGATGTGCCCAGTGTGGGCACTCAGGGCACTCCAAGCCAGAACTTCTTTGCAAGCGGGGCACCCCTTAGAACTGTGTGTCCGGGGTGGGGGTCGGGACCCTTTAAGCGCAGCCCTCGTATAGCCTGAGACAGCATCTCCATGCTCTAAGTCCTCTTTTTATGCCCTGCCGGCACTGCTTCCGGCCATCCTTAAGCCCTGTTCAGAGTCCACTCAATGTGGACTTGCCTGTTCGAATTAGCAAAACGCTAATTCGAACTAGTTTTTAGTTCTAGACGCGTTAGTTCGAATTAGCTTAGTTCGAATTAACTAATTCGAACTAAGTTAGTTCGAACTAGCGCTGTAGTGTAGACATACCCATAGAAAGCAAATGACTTCTTAGCATCCAATGTCAGCATCTTAATTAAGGAAGAACAAGGTCTAGGGGAAAATATTAGCAAGATTATGGACTGGTTAAGATGGAATTGTGTGTCTAGCCTGAGAAGCAATGCCGGATGTGGGTGAAGGATACACTCTCTCTTTGTAAACAGCCATATAAAGCAACCACGAGAGCCTTCATCTCCTTCCACCTTCATAGATTCTTACATGAAAGAGGCTCAGGAGAGCACCAGGAACTCCGTATGTGTGGCGAGTCAGTACTAGACTGAAGTCCCATATGCTTATAATGGTGCAAACACTCCACTGTAAACTGAAAAGAAACTGAGGCTGGGTTTGTGGTGGTGAGTTGCTCACAAGGAGGCTCTTTTCCATTTATGATCTTTACACTATTGAGCTGACTGTTTCTTAGAGTTCATTGGAATCTCCTACTCTTACAAAACAGGAGAGTCCCAGATCTGTCAAAATCCATAAGCCATGGTGTCACAAGGAGAAAATATGAATCTGGATGGCAAATCCAACATATGTGCTGGGTCAACAGGTGTGGAATTACTGGGAGAGGCTGATGAACTGCTTGTGACTGCTGCAGTAGATCTGAAAACTACTGTTATCCTGCCCAGAATAATTATGGCTTTGTTTAGACTCTGAATTGGAGGAACTGGGAATGGAGGAGCCTATTTTCCAGTGTAGAAGGAAGGCATCCAAGGTACACTGACCACCTGCTTCTGCTGGAGCAAAACCTCTGAGATTTAGAGTTGTGTCTTGTAGCAAATAAGCATATGTCTGGATACCTCCAGCAAGAGATGCTGCTGCTTTGCTGAAGTCAATCAGGACCTAGGTGTGGGGAGCATGTGAAGTCTCCTTGCCCTTTCAATCTCCCAACCTGACACTGGCTACGTCTACACTGCAGGCTTTTTGCGCAAGAACGGCTGTTCTTGTGCAAAAACTTGAGGAGCAGCTACACTGCACGCGTGTTCTTGCTCAAGTAAATTTACCGTAAAGCATCAGAAGAGAGAGCTTCTAGTGCAAAAGTTATTCCTCTCCCCATGAGGAATAAACCCTCTTGTGCAAGAAACCCCTATGGCTAAAATAGCCATCAGAGCTTTCTTGCGCAAGAGAACATCCATACTGCCATGGACGCTCTTGCGCAAAAGCGCATGGCAGCGTGGGCGTGCTCTTGCACAAGAGTTCTTGTGCAAAAGGTCTTGCGCAAGACAGCACCCGGGATTTTCACCTCCTTCCTAGGGGTGTGTGGGGTGGGG